ATTTCCTGTGCATTTGCAGCTGCAGGGTTCCATAGCCTCCTGCAGAGAAGCAGGGTACCGATTTTGGATGTAGCTGGAAGATCAGGCACTGGGGGTATTTGTGTTGGCATTGCACAAATGAAAAGTTAGATTTGCAGATATACTGTAGTTACGGTTCAAGATAAAATCACTGGATGAACGACCATAGGGACGTCTGGGTCCAGTTTAATCAAATGTTTTGTGGAGCAGTCTAAAAAGATGACAAAAAGATGTCATCAAACTGGCTAATTAAACCAGCTAGCTATTTTTGTGCAATAATGATTTGTCTGATTTTTTATTCTTGTCTTAAGTTATTATTTCCTGATTGTTTAATATTTGTATTTCTTCAGTAATGTATTTCAACCTTTTGTCAACCTTAAATAATTGAACATTTCCTTGCTAACTTTAACCAGTTTTTAACCTCCCAAAATTATCTTTTGTCTGTTGTTTTGCTTAGCTTTTGCTACATATGCAATTTTATTTCAAGCATTTCTAGGGCTAATGTTTGTGTTTACACTATGCACATCACTTTGCCAACGACCTGAAAACGTAGCTAACTTTGACCAATGTCTAAACAAACTTAGTTTATCATTAACTTTGGTAATTTTTGTTTTTCTTTCCATTTTTAAATGATTTGCTCACCATTGACAACATTCGGTTATCTTGTGCTATCATAAGCAATTTGGGCTAACCCCAAAAACATTATATGACCCAAATATAAATGTACAAAATGCAGTGCCTTGGTTGGCCACTTAGTTATTGTCTTAGGCATCAATGTGCAGATGAACGTTCTCCTGGGTTACAGATGTACAAATCAAGACTTTGCTGTGTCATGTGAAATAAGTTGTTATTATGTGGGGAACACGAGGTTCTGTGGACTTGAAGAGAGCAGAGGGAACTTGTCCTGACATGACCCACGTATAACAAACCTCTGAAGAACATTTTCTACCATGTCTGTCCTGTCAGTAGAAAGAAAATGTTGCCACACAAACATATCAGCACATCATCTGCCTTAACACGTAGTGTACCTTTATAGTCTCTCTGTGTCTGTGTGTGTGTGTGTGTGTGTGTCGTCATCAGAACAGTGTTTGTCCTCATGTGCAGTACTGAAGGACTGAACACACCTAAAGGACCAACGTCTCAGGTGAGGGTGTTGTCTGTCTCCATAGCAACTACAGAGAAACACTGTACCATTCCAAAACACAGGACTTTTTATGGATTTGTTAGATCAGGCCAATGCAAATCACCTGGATAAAATCCACCCACGAAGAAAGGCAGCAGTGACGTCTTTTAGTTTGGTTTTTATCTACGTCTTTTAAACAGTTCTTGATTCCTTTATTTTTTTAATGTTTGGATTTCCAGGTCCAGACAAAGGAGGACAAACAAGATCTTCTACTGACTCATTCACTTTTTTCACTTTCTTGTTTTTAATGACAGCGTGGATTGTTTAAGGTGTAGCCCAAAGCTACTCATATACACAGAAAATAAATTAACAATTTGTAATAAAATAGTAAAAGGACAAACAAACACTGCGGGGGCCACTGCTCTGCCTTTGTTGAATTAGGTGTATCTGTACTGGCGAACACAGAACACAGGACCTATAGACAACGTTCCAGGAAGAGAGAAGGACACAGTACCTCTGTGACCCCATGGATATTGTACCTAACCATAGCTCACATATAGATGTTTGGGCCGCCATCTGGTGGCTGAATTTAGAACTCGCGTGTTCTAAAATGCACCCGTGTCCTCAAAGAGGGGTCACGCTGGTTTGTACATCATGTACTTGTAGGTCTGCGGTGACACTTCTGCAGAATAGCCTCAATAAATAATTATTTATTTATTATTTATATTTCTTTAATAAATACAATTGTATTAAACTACATTGTACAAGATATATTAATGGACATCCCAAATCGTGGTAGAGGGGAGATTATTTATGAATAGTAAAGCTGGTCATGTTTTTAAATAGCAGCCATCACGGTGCTCTACTGGTTTGAGGTTGAATTGATTAAAAATTTACGTTTATTTATTAATTCAATCAGTTTTATCATATATTATATTATATTATATTATATTATATTATATTATATTATAAGAAATAATTGCTAAATGATACCTAGAGCCTTGCACAGGAATAGATTGTAAGGGTGTGAGTTTACAGCCTTTTAACACCCTAACCATAGGGTCATGTGGGTGGAAGGAGTTATTTCTATTATTTAAGTAAAAAACAGGGAGACTTCATCGAGACAACAGAGGGTTTGCTGTCATTCAACTGCCAGTCTCATTCCTGACCTAAATTACACTGAAAATCTCAGGAGGGATCTGAGGACATCTGAGTCCAGAAGAATTCTCCTCTCACTGGCTTTGCTGGTTTGTTCATTCATGTTTTATACTGCAGCAATGACATTACCGTCCTTGCATTACCTCCTGCACCTCACTGAAGGAGATGAGTAATCTCCTTCAGTGACATGTGATAAAGCTGATTTGTGTCTGCTTACTAGGACAAATTACATTTGCATCATCCATGCTGCAGGGTGATCACACTCACCCACATGGATGCAGAGACAGAAGGGTTGGCTTTTTTTTTATCCTTTATGGATTTGTTATTTAGTGGCAAACACAGGTACATATGTTTCCTCTACACTGCTTGTTTTTTATTATTTATTATTTTATTTATCCATTTATTTATTTGCATTGCAATTACTTTTTTGTTAGTTTGTTTTACTTTAGCACTTTGGTTAAGTGTCCAGCAGAGGGAGCTACGAGACATCTAATGCGTCTGTAAACTTCTGTAAATGAGAGAATACTTAATTTAATCATTCCAGTAATCTGTACAGACTCAGTGCTTTGTGGATCTTGCTTTAGTAAGCTGTAGTTGTCATGTTTGTCTATTTACTGGCAATAATTTCCATTTTTATCCTGAGGTGATAGAGTAGTAAACAACCTTAGTTATATAATTTTTTTCCTATATTTTCTAATGATCTGTTAGTTTGATTTAAGGTCGATTAAACATAACTTCTTGTAGATATGTTTTTGTACATAAATGGTTGTACACTAAATATCCCTTTTATTATATTTTGTTGGTGATCATTATTAGCAATTTTGGCTAACCTGTATGTTTTCTCTATATATACTTGGATAACATTCAGCTGTTTCTTAACAATTTTAATTCATGTTTGCTTATTCTTAGCTACGTTTTCTTTATATCAATAACTAATAAGATAACTATCAACTAGGAACTGACAGATATTTTCACTAATAACTACTTTTCCTTTTCTTAATTTTGTCGCTAGCTATTTTGGCTACTTAGCTTTCCTTTAAACAAACTTCAACTTGGTTTTCTACTCTGCTACTTTGTTGCTTTTTATTAAAACTTGAACATTTTTTGACTAACTTTGACCCCTTTTACCGAGTTAAATAATTTGTTAATGCTTTTGCTGTAGAAAATTTGCTCACATTACATCTATAATGCTACGTCATCTAATGGTCTCTAACATCCTCATGTTTCTTTCCCTCTTTGTGCCTAATCTGACAGGACAGCCTTCAGTCAACTTTGGTCTCCTAGCTTGTATCCTCTCTCTCTCTCTCTCTGAGGTTTTTTTTGGGATGGATGTGATGTGCCAAAGTAGATTTACCTTCAATAACCATTTATTAAACCTCCATCCATTAGAATCAGAGGCTTCATAAGAGCTGCCTGCATTAATCCTGATTACGAGACCAGAGGCAGAGGGTCTATGTGTCAAGTGTGTCATCGAGTGATTTATATATCCCGGCTGAGATTTCGTTCTTGTCAGTCAGTGGGGAATACACCACAGAGAGGACGGCAGGGCACTGAAACCTCAGTGATGGTGGTCCTTTTTAGTTTTCTGTCTACATCTGGCATCAGAATCCTGAGCTGCTGCTGCTGCTGCTCAAGGAATCTCTTTTGACATCAACTGACCTACACAGCCGGTCCTCAGCATGGATGCCAAGGGCTCGGGTGCCACCTTTAAAAGGTCGTCCCTCAAACGCTCAACCTCCGGCTCACAGAAGGTAAGGAGAAGTCAACATTTGATTCAGTTTCACACAGCAGACTTCACTCTCTCTCACCTCTCCCTCACCACTTTAACGACATCCTGAGCCTTTCTGTTGGCTCCAAACCATAAAGACATTCACACTGACAATGGGTGGAACATCATCACAACAACATTAACAGTTCTTCCAGTGAACTTTTGGCTTCAGAGGAGCCATATGATTCTGTGAATGACTGCACAGCCTCAGTCACATGCAACATCACAATAGCCTGAGACCAGGTTAGGTTCTTATCAATGACCTCAGAGCCTTCACTCCTGCTAGACTGCAGACTGTACGTTGGCTGCACACACACTTTACTCCTAAGTGTTTGAGGACTGGCAGCCTGTGCTGGATGCAGCACAGCCGTCTAATCCTTCATAATGGCTCAGTATGGAAAACCACGGCCCTGACAGATTATGGACTTTTACATTTTGCTTTCATGTGATTAACACACTCCTATTAACATGTCCTCGACGGTGAGGAAAAAGCAGGTTTTCTACAATTGCACGTGTCGGCTCTCGGTCCAAATCAGCCATATGTGCAGGTTTAGATTAGAACACAGACATTAGTCTCGGCCAGTGTTTCACATTTCTTCTACATGTTTAAATAGGTGACTCTAGTGTGCTGGTCGTTTACATGACTTAGCAGAAGTCTTCTTCTCCAAAATACACGTAGGACAGCTTTTACACTCAAATATATTATAAAGAAAATACACGACACCTAGGGGTTACACCGAGGTACTACAAGGGGGTTGTGAAAAATCAACACATTTTATACTATCCAATAAACAAAACAGTCTATTTTTTAGAATTGACTTTTTTTTGCAATGTACCAACCTTTAGTGACTTATTTTCCCACTTTACTGTGATCAATATCTAATCCATCAGATATTAGAAAGGCAGTTTATGAGAACTACGTATGTCGCTTACCACGTGTGAGTCCACTAAGGTCCAGGCCAACATTATGGGGGGCAGCCAACACGGATGCTGGACTTGTTCAGACAGGGCAGCGAGTTGGTTTCCACAGCTGCAGGGACAGGGCAAAAAAAGAAAACCACATTTGTATTTATGCTCTTTTAAACTTACGTTCAAACAGCCCATAATTGCTAGCAAATGTTTAAAGTTGTTAAAAACGAGAAGTAAAGAGTAAATCTATACACAAACCTAAAACCATTTATATACAGTACCTTTCCATAACGCATTTGCATTTGATTAAATTGAAGGATCAAATCTGGACCGCCTTGGAAAACACTGTTGTATTATATATGTTGGCCAAAGTAATTTGAAATAATAAAAAAAATTCTGAAAAAAAAGTCTAGTAAATCAAATCTAATAAAATAATAATAATAAAAATAAATTACAAATCCATAAGATTTTATTTATAACTTTTTTTTTTACCATTTGCTATACCGTTTATATAGAAACACTGTTTACACAGTTTATCTAACTGGTGACTTACACTTAAATCAGGGGGGAAAACATTTGTGAAGGTGCTGTGTTTATTTCACATTCCAGATTTCAAATCTGAAAACATTCGACATAGTCTCTTCTTCTCCGTCTCTGCTTCCAATGCAGGAAAACAGAGGAAAACAGTGTCTGTAAAACGTCTTATGACTCCCTTAACTCTCTGGGATAATCAGTGACATGTTGCACTCATGTGATTGGTAACTGGATTTTCAGAGCCAGCAGGACAATGGATGCATTTACAAACAGGACTCAGCGAGAACAGTCAGTTTCACAGTTGATGCAAACGTTCCTCATGCGGTGTTGTAACTTGACTTGCGGAGCAGGGAGGTTTAATTCAGTGAGGCGGACGACTAGTCTGGAATATTTTTTATTAAGATAGTGGATGGTTTCCTCCCTGTCGTCTTGTATTAAACTCTCACTTCATCTCTATTCAAATGCAAAGCTGAGCAATTAGCTGCTTTTATCTTCAGACCTGCTAACATCACATTCCTGGTTGGACCCCCAAATTCCTCCTGACACAAACACAGTCACAATCTCCATTTCACTTGAGCCTTTTGTTTTCCTGGATTCCTTTGTATTCCTATCAGTATTTCCATTCAGATTTATAAAATGCAGTAAGTGAATTGTGCTGAACCAGGTCATAAACTGACACAGAGACGCTCGGCCGTCATTACCCCTAAACTCATGAGTCTTTAGGCTGAACAGTCCATGTAATTGTAGCTGAACTGGAACAAATTTGCTCTGATTTATCAGCTCACTAAGCTGTGGGTCAGAAGACCAGGCCCATGTGATTCATGCAGTGAAAGGCATCAATGTATGAAAATGCATTTCTTTAAGGCTCAAGGAAATTTGTACTATTTTTTTTTTTATTTAAAAATAAATACTTGTTTACAGAACCAACGTTTTTCAGGTCGAATCTGGCTAAATAAGACGTTTAGATTATACAATTTTAAATATAGGTAAAGGTAAAAATAGGTAAAAATATTTTACAAAAATTACCTTAGATGGATGTATTAATACTAAGTTATCCATAAAAATACAACGGTGGAGTTAAACAAAGAAGTCGTTTTTTAAGAAACTTTCGACCTCTGGACCGAGAGATTTTGCCCATGTTTGTAGAAGACAGGGACAGCATTTAACACAAAGAACACAGAACCCATGGAAAAGACAAATAATGTGTCTCAGATTCTCTAGTCAACAGGAAATATTGTCACACAAAGCTCTAATTTAACTACTATATTAATAATCCTACAATCAGATTATTTATTTGGGCTTCTGTACTTTTTGCATTCTTTTACATAAAGTTTTCTTAAGTAAAACAATGTAAAAACTTCCCATATAACACAAAGAAACTAAGCAAAAATATCTTTTTTTTTCAACTTTTAAAAAGATGATTGAATTAAAACAAAAGTAGAACATGCATGTGTGTATGTTACATAAGTGTCACAAAATGTCCAAAATTCAGTAAAAGGAGAGATATATTAATAATATAATGAATGATTTCATTATATTATTTTTCCCAACAATTGTTGGGGTCGAACAACATTATTCTCTGAGCTTTTAATGAGTTGCTGCTCATTTTCTTGCTGTGACACAATCTGATCCTGCAGTGTCTCATTCTTTACAGTTTTTATGGTTAAGTGCTTAACGGCTGATATTAACAGGGCAGCAGGCGACCGCTGGATTGTGGTTTTAGCGGCTGTGGCTAATGAGTTTAAGTAAGTAAGCTCGCTCACTTGGCCGAGCCCTTGTGGAAATGGTCTTTGTTTTTCCTGAGCTGTGATTAACGTTGTGCGTCTAACAATGTGCCTTTTTTTCCACAATCTGTCCGAGGCCCAAAAAGTTGGAGAAGCTGGACTTTCTTTTTGTATTATTTCTGTTTGTTTTTAAACCTCAGACGGTCGTCTCTTCATAGACATAAACTGTCACTGCTCAACCATAGTAACCACTGTTGCCACCATAAAAGGAGAAGTGTTAAAAACTCCACTTTAACATTTTTTAAGACAATTGAAAGCTAAAATATGATTAAAAATCTCTATAGATTCTAACCGAAGGTTAGCCAAAAAAGACATAAATGAACCTGGTTAAATTGCTAAATAGGTGACCTTCAAAGGTACAAGAACAGAAATATCGGCTAAAGATTAAACAGTAAAAATGCATTTAAAATTTAAGTAAGAAAGGTAAATGTTAATCCACAATTAATCTAACAAAAAAATCTGAAGAAAGATAGCTAGCTAACCAGTAGCTAACACAAAAAGGAACAGATTTTTTTTCCCAATGGACTAGCTAACCAGTAGCTAACACAAAAAGCTAACACAAAAAGGAACAGAATGTTCCTAAATACCCTTTAAATGCATTTACCGTTGAGGGATAAACAATGATACTAACAAAATAGTTGAACACACTAACAGTGGATCGTTTCATTCAACTATAGGCAAGAAAATCACCTAAATGACAAAATGAACAACTGTTAATCCATAAAATTCGACCACATTTCAAAATACAGCCTTATCTATTATAGAGTTATGTGACATAAAAAACATTGCTAAGTCGACACATAATATAACACATTTGAATAAAGATGTTCTCTTACACACTCTTTAGTAAAAATTAGTAAAAACACGCCTAGAAAACATATATTTATATATATATATATATATATATATATATACCAATGTAATTTATCATTCGGTTTAATGTAATTAGGGGAATAATGGGTCTATAGATGTTTTTACTGCCTTTCCTGCTTTTCCTCCACATAACGAAGTAGGTTGAAATAGAGATTAACAGCAATTAGCAGCGGCTGACCTCACCCCCGACTGGAGAGCAGTGGTGTCTTAACCGGATGCTTTCCACCAGAATGCCTGAGCCCAATTCTTTCAATTATGCAAATATAGTTGAAATCAAAGTATTTGGAGGGGGTTTGATTTCCAAATGTAAAGTAGCAGAGTCTCTGAATGAGAATGCAGAGATTGTGGGTTCGACCGCTCTGTTTTCTCACTCAAACTGTGAAGTGAGCAGGCAGAAAAAGTCTGAAGAAAAACTGGGAGATTAGAGGCCGGGTATCAAAGTAGATTTGTTGTGCCTTGTTCAGGCAAAGGGATGAAAATACCCTGTGGACATGGAGAGGGGGTCATGGGACTCCCAAAAGGATTACCTTGAACTGGAGTCATGAGACTCGGGCGAACAAAGGCCCTGCTCACATGCTCGTCATATTAAGCAGCCCTCATAAAGTGAAGAAGTTTCATGTCCTGTGAGACTCAATAAGAGCAGCACAGCTCTGGTAGAGAAGCAACAGGCAGGAGGCGTCCCGCTCCACTCTGCTCTCTCTGAGCTTAATCTGCAGCCTTACAGACAGGAAGCCAGCAGCTGGGACAGAAGATTAAACGTAAGTGCATCTGCAATTCTTACATTTTCATTTAACAGCTTCCATTAGGAGCTGCTGGTACATGGACGTGGTGATGCTGGATGGGTGTGATGGAGGTCCACAGGACGACTGAGAGTGTGTGGTGGATGAGGGACATCGACAGTAGGTCAGGATGAATCCACACAGACATTTAACATGTGAGGGTCAGTCAGAGAGTGTTGAAGCAGATGTTGAAGTTTCAGAGAGTGACTGATTTAAACATGGAAATCATGTCAAGACACGACTCTCTGACATCTGAACTGTGTTGGAGTTTCATCATGATACTAAGAGTGGAGCTGTGTTGCTTTTTAAATGAATCAATGATTCAACAATTTTCAATTCAGACCAAGCTTCTCATTTATAACCAAAGCTGAGAAAAAGTTGTTTTTTTACTTTTGGTTTAACTTTAATAACTAGTTTTTAGTCCTTAGTTGAGGTAAAATCCTCCTATTTTAAGAATCAAATCTTTGTTTTCTCCTTCCCCTCAGTTCCTACATTAATTTCTTGATTGTAACTGTGTGTTTTTACAGTTTTTACACCTACTGTTATTAAGGTGTTATTTTAAAAATCAAAAATCTTCTTCTTCTTCTCAGGCACAGAGGGCTTGGATTGAAAGGACCTTTTGTAAAAGAGAATGCGTTCACATATTTCCAACCAAGGACCCGACCAGGTGATTAAAACTTTGTTTCCCAGTTTGATTATTAAATAGTTGTGTAACTGAACAAACTTGACTACTAAAGGAACAACATTTTTCATACTTTTCCAGCTAGAAATCATTAAAAACAACATTCATCATTCTTAAAAAAACAAACTAAAAGTCAAAGCAGATTTTTATGTGTTTCTTTAACACACGTGTGTTCCTACATCTGTGATGTCTAGATGTGCCTGTGGTCAGCTGACAACCCAGCACGTGGCCATCCCTCCTGGTGCCAACTCGGTGGAAGAGGCAAACCAGCTGGTGCACATCGACACCCCCAAAGATAAATGGACGGTGGTGAAATACACCAGAACATACCCCACAGATGCTTACGGGGTAATTGAGTTCCAGGGTGGAGGATTCATCAATAAGGCCATGGTGAGTCTCAGTCACAGGAGTTGAGTTTTTGAATTTAGTTTTGTAGGGCCATGGTGAGTCTCAGTCACAGGAGTTTTTGAATTTAGTTTTGTAGAAATCAGATCATGTTTCCCCACAAATGACATTTATTTCATTTATACACAGAGGACAATTCTTTCTCTGTCATGTAGCGGGAGCTACAAACGCAGCTATAAATGTGCTGACTTGTATTGTACACAATAGCTGACTTATTATGACAGTCAGAACCTTTTCCCATAAAAATGTTAAAGATCCAAATTTTGGGATAAACAATTTCCCAGAATTACCGGGAATTAAGGACAGACCCCTTTATTTACAGCACTGCACCAAGACAGTGACTATTGTCATTAGGATTATGTTGCATTATTTTATAGAAAAAAACAATTTAATTGGCTTCATATCTATATTTATTTTTAGAGATTTAAACTGCCATCCTGATCCTGACCCTCCACCCACCCAAACTTGTTCTGTGTCACTGCCACCTACTGGGCCTGTACAGTGATGTATTTAAATCCATTTATCTTTCATCACTTCGGTACGATTACTTCTTACTGCTCACTGTGAAAATGTGTTCTTAATGTGTATTTTTTCCCCCATTTCAGTTCATCAGGGTTTCCTACGATACCAAGCCTGACAACCTGCTGCATCTGATGGTGAAAGACTGGCAGCTAGAACTGCCCACCCTACTCATCTCCGTTCACGGTGGTCTCCAGAACTTTGACCTCCAGCCCAAGCTCAAGCAAGTGTTTGGCAAAGGCCTGATCAAAGCTGCGGTCACCACTGGAGCGTGGATCTTCACCGGTGGAGTCAACACGGGTACGACTGTGACACTTTATTAGGAGACGGCTTTTAAATGTCCCCGCAGTAATTGAAAGAAGATTAACTTTGAGCTAAAATGTTGTTATATAAGCCAAACTCTTTAATTTCCTGGAGGGATTTTTGACCGAGCTTTTGGCACAGAATTAAGCTCAACAATTAAAAGCCTTTCTGGGAAAATTAATTGCGGTTTTGCAGTTAATACTGTGATGGAACTGCATTAGACACTCAAAAAGGATCATTATCTACAAGGCTGTGTTTCATAATAACAGTAAAAGTTTTACCTTGTATTTTAACATGGCAGGAGTGATCCGTCATGTGGGAGACGCCTTGAAGGACCATTCCTCCAAGTCACGGGGGAAGGTCTGTGCTATTGGAATTGCTCCATGGGGAATTCTGGAAAACAAAGAAGACCTCATTGGAAAAGATGTGAGGATTTCTTTTTGCAAAGGAGTCACTTCCATGAAAATGTAACATTTGACACTGAAGTTTTCCTCTTTTTCCAGGTAACCAGACCTTACCAGGGAATGGGAAATCCTCTGAGCAAGTTGGCCGTGCTCAACAACAGCCACTCCCACTTCATCCTGACGGACAACGGCACCTGCGGAAAGTACGGGTCAGAGGTCAAACTGCGTCGGCTGCTGGAGAAGCACATCTCTCTGCAGAAGATTAACACCCGTAAGTGACATTGAGAGTCATCACCTGACCTTCTTCAGATCGTCTCCATCCTCCACAGTGTGTACTTGGTAGCCTTCAAGTCCCGTTGGACATGTGGACGAAACAGTCCTCTGTGACCTGTGGGCTTCCCTTTGTCATCCTATGCCTGGTGCTCAGATAAGGCAGGGACAGCAAAGGGATGCTCAGCTGTCACCACTGACGTCTCACACCAGGAATGACTTCACATCAGTTTGACTTCTTTGTTGCTGTAAAGTCTTGGTTTTTAAGTTTGTGAACTGTGATGGATTTTGTTCCGCAGGTCTAGGTCAGGGTGTCCCCCTAGTGTGCCTGATTGTTGAGGGAGGTCCGAACGTCATCTCCATTGCCCTGGAGAGCCTGAGAGATGATCCTCCTGTTCCTGTGGTGGTGTGTGACGGCAGTGGTCGAGCCTCTGACATCATTTCCTTTGCACACAAGTTCTGTGAGGACGACGGGTAAGATTTTAGGATAGTTAGTGCAGAAGTAGACAAATGGAAGAGTTACTTTTAAACAAACTCCATAAAATTATTTATATTTCAGTTTATTCCTCCTGGTGGTGAAAAGGTGAACGTTCTTTTCACAAACTTTGCTTTCAGCTTGGTGAACGATGATGTTCGAGACCAACTATTGGTGACAATTCAAAAGACTTTCAACTACAGCAAGAGCCAATCGCAGCAGATCTTGCTCATGGTTATGGAGTGCATGAAGAAAAGGGAACTGGTAAGTAGAAGAAAGACAACCTGCAGGATAATAATACATTTTGTGTGAAAAATAAAATCAATAAAATCATTTTTGATACTTCAAACATCTGGTCTCCACCCTCATTCATCCATGCCTCTCATCTGTGTGTTTCCATTAACATATTGAATAAAAATAATCCCCACCACCTGCCTGTCATCGCCCCTTCTTGTTCTGGTCATGTCATGTAATCGGGGTCATTCGCAGCTTCGTGGCTGACCAGCACAAATGGACTCCGTAAGCTACAGTGAGCTGTAAGTGCCGGGCTGTGAAGTGGGCGTGCTACTTTACAGAATCACACTGTGTGGCATTAATGCTGTCATTTCATCACGATGTGCACGGATACAGTACATCAGATTAACGCTGAAGTGTTTCTCCAAAGTGTTCGATCAAGACCTTGGTATAAATGAATATCAGTAACACTTGTGGGGCAGACTCCATGTGATGCGATTAGTAATGTGTAATACACAGCCTGTATAATCTCCACACTCTTTACATTTGGGTGGGAAAGATCAGAGCACGCTGCCACCTGCTTAGCAAAGGCTCTTACTTCATCCTCGCACAGCAAACATGTGGCACATAAATGTAGAAGAGGATCCATCTCCCTAATCCTCCGCCAAGTTGCTCTTTCTATCCACTATCTGGCCTTTTTTTCAGCATCTGCAGAGACTTTGCGACCACTATCTCTGGTGTATTAAACCACCTAATGCTCCAACACACTCAAATGAACTGGCTTTTTACAGATCAAATCGCTGCGGGTATTTTTAGCTTCCACTTAGTTCTAACTCAGACTCCACCCAAACACAACTTCTTACGCATCTCAGAGAGCACATCATTGGCACCTTTTAATCTGAATAACCCACAGGTGAATCATCATCATCATCATCATCATCATCATCATCATCATCATCATCATCATCATCATCACCACCACTGTCTGATCTCATCATAATCCTAAATGCATTTTATGCAAACAGCCGGATCAGATGAGTAGAAAACACTCATTTGGAGGGTCACAAATTAGAAGTGATGTAACACCAGCATACATTAAACATAACAATGACTTCACTCTCCCCCTGTTTGCGAATACAAGGGAGTGGGGGCTCAGCAATTGTTTGGGAGATTCTACAAGTTTTGTTGTCGTGATAATGAACCAGATTCACCAACAAGGACAAGATCAGAAATGAGCAGCTGAGAGGGACTATTGAAGATGAGCAGTAGAGATGGATGATAATGTCGAGATGAGATTGTGAGAGGGATTGGAGGGAAGAGCAGAAGATGGCAGTGGTTAGTGTAACAACAGAGGAGACAGGGGTGAACAGTGGCAACCCCTGGGGCAAAGATAAGATGATGATGAATAAAGCAGTAGTTTTTTTTAGAAGCCATCATAAGACGCTCTGACACAGTGTCATATACAGTATTCATGCCAAACATAGCATATTCCAAAATTAACCATGTGACAGAATTGCCATCTTAATGTTGTTTGACATGGTCAGGCTGTGACGAGTAATGAGTGAAAAAGCTGTTTGTGTGAGACGCGGCAGCGTCAGGAATCATGTTTACATAGACTGTCACCAGCTTACACTGCAGCTGCCCTCTGAAATAAGAGAGACGGATTTTACTATAATGAAGAGTGCTAGTCAAAAATACAATATATCCACAATACTACACTACACTACAAAGGACCTGCAAGACTAATCCTGTGATTTTCCCAACAAACATAGATCACAGTTTTTCGCATGGGGTCAGAGGGACAGCAGGATATTGAAATGGCCATTCTGACTGCCCTGTTGAAAGGTAAATTCTCCCTGTGTCACAGTGACACAGCATGTCCAAATGATGTTACAACCAATGTTTTAACTGCCATATTTCTCGCTCTGCTGTTTCCGTCGACCAAAGGCACAAATGCTTCAGCATCAGATCAGCTCAGCTTGGCTCTGGCCTGGAACAGAGTGGACATTGCTCGCAATCACATCTTTGTTTACGGACACAATTTGCCAGTGAGTGAGAACTACTTACTACTTACTTACTACATGGCCACAAAAGATTTGTAAAATTGTATTGATTTAACTCATAATCTAAAGTTCAGAAAACTAATATCTTTACTCCTGGTCAGCCTGCGGGTGCCATGGCCAACGCTACAGCCACTGCAGCCATGACACAGGAGAAGCCCAAGAGTCCTGTCAGCGCTCCTCGCAGCAAGACTCGAGGAAAGAAGGGGAAAGGAAAAGCTAAGCCTGAACCTCCAGAGGAAACCGACCCCAGGAAGTTGGAGCTTATTCGATGGGTAAGATAATAATAATAATGATAATAAATATAATAATAATAATTATTATTATTATTGTGCCAGGTCAATTCTCTGGAGCAGGCCATGATGGACGCTCTGGTGTTGGACAGAGTGGACTTTGTCAAACTGCTTCTTGAGAATGGAGTCAACATTCATCACTTCCTCACCATTCCCAGACTGGAGGAGTTATACAACACTGTGAGCCGCCCAGTGGAACAGAGCAATAAATAAATTGATAATTCTGCAATATTAATTCCTTAGTTGTTTTTTTTTTTTTGACACAGAAATTAGGCCCAGCGAATACTCTTCACGCCGTGGTTAGAGATGTCAAGAAGGTAAAACTATCTTTCTTGTAAAAAAATAAATAAATAAATAAAAAGTACAGGAAATGAATGCATCAAAATCCTGTTATGGTTTGATGATCTTGTATGATACTCTACAGGGGAACCTTCCTCCAGATTACCAGATCACATTGATTGACATCGGTTTGGTGCTGGAGTACTTGATGGGTGGAGCGTACAGAAGCAACTACACCAGGAAGGCCTTTCGTAACCTCTATAACAATTTATATGGACTAAAAAGGGTGAGTAATGCAAATATGAATGTAATAGGTTTAAAGTCACCATCAGTAGGAGAAAACGAATACTTCCAAGAGCATAAAACGACTTATCCTGACTTGACATTGTTCTCAAAATATCGTAACAATGTCCTGCAACATGACCTGATGGATGGATGGAAAAATTAATGAATGAATGGGAGGTGTTGTTATATAATTAAATACCATCATTTTTTCTTCCTATTAACCTTTTTTTTTTCTTTCTGTAGCCAAAAGCTCTAAAGCTACTTGGAATGGAGGTGAGGTGATAAAGGAAAATCTATTTATTAAGAATAATATTAAATATAGTAATAAATTATCATTGTCTTTAAACTTTCTAAATTATTTATCTTAGGATGATGAACCAAGGCAAAAAGGGAAGAAAAAGCCAAAAAAGAAGAAAGAGGAAGAAGTGGAAATAGACGTAGACGACCCTGAAGTCTGCCGGTTTAAATACCCCTTTCATGAGCTGATGCTGTGGGGCGTGTTGATGAAGCGCCAGAAGATGGCGCTGTTTCTCTGGCAGCGTGGAGAGGAGGCCATGGCGAAGGCCCTGGTTGCTTGTAAACTGTATAAAGCCATGGCTCACGAGTGCTCAGAGAGTGAGCTGGTTGACGACATCTCCCAAGACCTGGAGAACAACTCCAAGTCAGTATTTTACATCTCCTATGCTATTCTTTCCCACTGATTGTTTTCCATTTATATTTGTGAAACAAGAAAGGCTTTAAATATAAATTTGTTGCTTTTACATTGCTATACAATATCCAGTTGCTAAGAAATAAAATCTATGCGCTGTGCCATAGAAGGCAGTTCTAGCTGAGCATCAACTGTGTTTAATAACCTATGCAGCTTTGTTTTTATATATGGCAATTTATTATTCATCATCGACGCAAAACAATTGCTACTTATTCACATTGTTCTTGCTATTGCTGTCTTTCTCCCGTAGAGAGTTTGGCCAGCTGGCTTACGAGCTGTTGGATCAGTCCTACAAGCACGATGAACAGGTGGCCATGAAGCTCCTCACATACGAACTGGTAAACTGGAGCAACTCCACCTGTCTGAAGCTGGCTGTGGCGGCTAAGCAGCGCGACTTCATCGCCCACACCTGCAGCCAGATGCTGCTCACTGACATGTGGATGGGTTGTTTACGGATGGGCAAAAATCCCGGCCTCAAGGTACAGATAACTTCATTAGGAAGTGTGACTGATGATATTTAAAGTAGCGGTTGATCTCATTTGTTATTTTCTCTGCTAGGTTATTCTGGGAATCATCTTTCCTCCCCTGATTCTGCTGTTGGATTTCCGTATTGGGGATGATGCATCCTATAATGCAACTGCAGGAAAGGAGGAAGGCAAAGAGAAGAAAGATGACGAAAAAACCACCAAGGTCTGCTTTCAAATTTTTTACATTGTCGTTAGTTATTAGGACTCGAGGGCAGACTTTTTAGATAGAGAAAAATGCATGAACTCTACCATAATCTCAACCTGGTCAATATTTTCTATTTTATGTATTAAACAATTATTCCGCCTTGAAATGTTTAGATTAAATGATTTATTTAAAATGGACTGCGTAGACTTCGCTGAAAACTAACTGCTGTGTAACAGGACCACAACAACGATGCAAATTCACGAAAAGGAGACGAAGAAGACGGTAACACCAATGTCCGCAAAATACCTATCGCCAAAAGGATCTTTGAGTTTTACGACGCACCCTTTACTAAATTCTGGTTCAACACTGTGAGTTTTCTTCTTGTCCATGTTTATGCCTGTAGTGATATTTGGGTATATATACTGTATAAAGATATATAATGAACTCTAAGGTTGTCCTTTCCACTGCAATAGATTTCCTATCTGGGATATTTAATGCTGTACAACTACATAATTCTGGTGAAGATGGAGCGATGGCCGTCGATACAAGAGTGGACTGTCATCTCCTACATCCTCACACTTGGCAGTGAAAAAGTCCGACAGGTAGAAGCTCCACTTCTTTAATATGCATCGTTACGCCTGATAGCCTTTCCTCTCCCGGTGACCTTTGAACCCTGGTGTGTAGATTCTGATGTCGGAGCCTGGGAAGCTGAAGCAGAAGATCAGTGTGTGGATGGAGGACTACTGGAACATCACAGACCTGGCTGCCATCTCCACCTTCCTGCTGGGGCTCATGCTGCGGCTGCACCACGAGCCTTACATGGGCTACGGCAGAGTCATCTACTGCATAGACATCATCTTCTGGTACATCCGTGTCCTGGACATCTTTGGTGTCAACAAATACTTGGGCCCTTATGTGATGATGATCGGGAAGATGGTAACCGACATCTGTGTATCAGTATGCACTCCCACGATACTGAAGTGAATTCTTCACCTTTAATTCACTCTTTTTCTGTTATCCTTCCTCGCTTCCAGATGATTGACATGATGTACTTTGTCGTGATCATGCTGGTTGTGCTCATGAGTTTCGGGGTGGCTCGGCAGGCCATTCTTCACCCGGATGAGGAGCCGACCTGGAGACTGGCCAGAAACATTTTCTACATGCCCTACTGGATGATCTATGGGGAGGTTTTTGCGGACTCGATAGACCGTAAGACTAGAATTCATAGTAAGATTCTGTTTCCTGATTCTGGGCAGATGATCAGTATTAACTCTTGTAAAGCCTAGACACGTTATATGAATGGACCGCGTGTACTTTGTCTCCCCCTGCTGGATAATTAGGCAATAACTATTTAGGAGGTTTTTTTTTTCACGATCATCTGCCTTCAAGTTTTGTTGTTGTCACTTTTTTCTGTCACGGTGAAGGCAGTGAGAATTTTTTTTTAAACCTAAACTGTAAATGAATTTTTTTGGCGTAATACTAGTTTGTTAAATTGTTTAAATACAAGGAAAAAATGCTCTGTATTTGTCTGAAAAAAGGGGACTAACCCTTGTTAAATTGTTTAAATACAAGGAAAAATGCTCTGTATTTGTCTGAAAACTTATTTTGTCTACAAAATTAAAAGCAAAAAAATAGACAAATATATAGTGATTTGTGGTATAAAAAATGAAGATAACTATTTATACTTTTATGGACAGCAGCTTGACCTTGACAGAAGCACAATGTAAAAATAAGTACATTTGTAGGCTTTTAACTTTTTCTACATGTGTTTGTTCAACTGCTGCTGTGCTTTTTTTGGATTTTCTAAAGTTTATGCCATGGAAATAAACCGTGAGTACTTTTTAAATGTATTTCCAAATAAATGTATCTGTTTATCTGAGTTTAACTGTGATCACCTTTGGATCCAGCTCCATGTGGTGAACACCTGTATGATGAAGATGGTAAGAAACTGCCTCCTTGCATCCCCGGTGCATGGCTGACACCTGCTATTATGGCCTGTTATCTTCTCGTGGCTAACATCCTTCTGGTCAACCTGCTCATTGCCGTCTTCAAGTAAATACATATTCGATTGACTAAAGTTTTGCAGCGACTGTACTGAAGAAAGTTTAGACTAATTTGTCTCTTTACCTGCTCCACAGCAACACCTTCTTCGAAGTCAAGTCTATTTCGAACCAGGTGTGGAAGTTCCAGAGATATCAGCTGATCATGACCTTTCACGACCGTCCTATCCTTCCTCCTCCTCTCATCATCTTCAGTCACCTCTACATCCTCTTCAACAGGATGTTTCGACACTGTATTAAGAAGAGACAAGAGGGAGAACTGGATGAGAAAGACAGAGGGCTCAGTAAGTTTTCTCCAATAAACACGCAAGAATATATACATATCAGAGATATACTTCACAAAGACTCAACGGCCACTTCATTAGCTGCATCATGGTGACATTCATTGCTGTTCCTATTCAGAAAGACACTAAAATCTTGTTCTTAACACACCCTCATGTATAACAACAGTTCCAGGCTTATTTCAAACACACAAATGTCTGTTGTTTTTGCCAGAGCTGCGACTGAATCCAGAGGAGCTAAAAAGTCTCTACGAGTTTGAAGAACAATGTGTGGAGGAATATTTCAGAGGGAAAGAAGACGAGCAGCAGTCCTCAAGTGACGAACGCATCAAAGTCACCTCAGAAAGGTGGGCCGTATTTTCACTGTTGTTCCCTTCCCTGTAAATAACTGTTCACAAATGTCTAATGATTAAAAAAAAAATCAACATTTCTTTCAATCAGAGTTGAGAATATGTCCATGCGTCTGGAGGAGGTGAATGAGAGAGAGAACACGATGAAAGCCTCTCTACAGACGGTGGATCTACGTCTGGCTCAGCTGGAGGAGATACATGGACGAATGGCTGTGGCTCTGGAAAAACTTGCTGGTGTGGACAGGTTGGAGTTAACGCGGACTTACTCACGAAACTCCTCTGTATGTGACCCGTCCTCACTCCTCCGTCAGGGCAGTATTAACAGTGCAGACGGTTACAGTCTTTACCGTTTCCACATGGACATGGAAGAGTTCGCACAGAAGCAAAGGGACCCGGACGACACGACCAAAACAGGTGCGGAGACCCGTAGGAGTATTAAAGAAGCCTCCAGTGGCCAGCTCAGCACAAAGGATGGTGGTCAGAAGCTGGAGGTTGCAGGTTTGGAGCGGTCTCGACCCGGCTCTCGTGTGGACATTCTCATATCTCCATGCGAACAAAAGCCCGAATCTGTGGCATCAAGCCATACAACCCTAGTCAACATAAAACAGGGCAGTTCTTTTCGACTGGATCGACTCACAGACCAAAACAGACTCAAACCTTCCTCTCCTCCAAAGAGAACCAAATCCTTGAAATACTACCCTGCTGACGACCAACCCACATCTCCACTGACAAAGAGGAGGTCAATGAGTACCGTCATCATCAGCCCTCCAGATGAACCAGAGCAAACGGCTGAACCAACCACAAAACTCCAAGCCCTGCTGTGGAGTTCATCAACTCCAAAGAGAACCGAATCTTTAAATTATGTTCCCAGTGAAACCCAAAGTCAAACTTCACCTTTCACCAAAAAAAGGGCGATGAGTGGCATCGTCTACAGCCCAGCAGAGGCAGGTGATGACGGACAGCAGACCGCAGACTACAGAGCTCTGTTGGACGAAGTAGCCAAAATGCCAAATCAGTGGCCAGGAAACCTGGAGTATCAAGTACACCCAAGCACTTTGGGTCATATGCCTAAAGTATCTACAGTCCGGACTCTTGCCCAGCAGTTTCAGAAGCAGGACGCACCTACAGAAGCTAAAAAAGAGGAGAATCAAGTTCATCAGATTCCTTTAGAAAGCGATGGAACTCTTGTAGCAGATGTAGAGTCCGCCACAGACTTTAAGAAGATAAAGGCCAAAAGAATCCTGTCAGACACCACGGACTACCTGAGTGTGGCTGACGACAGATATCTGTCCCCTCACAGGTCACACAGCTGGAATGCCAGTGTAAGGAAGACAAAGTCCATGTTGGTTAGCAAAGAGCGCAGGGTGTCGTGCAGTGAGAGAGACCTTGGTGAGGTCTGTAAGGTGGGGGCCGAGGCAGTGGTACAGAAGATGGAGGCAGAGAAAGGAGATAATGATGCACAGGATAGAGAAAATTAAAGAGAAACAAACACAACAATAACTGATGTTATAACTTAAGACTTTCGGCTATAGAACCACGTGTTTAACCCAAGGATGAAAAATGTCTTTTACATCACATTTGTCACAATTAAAACCTTGTTTTTAGCTTTTTTCTGTTACCCCATAAAGTGAATTCTACAGAAAAGGAAGAGTAAAGCGAGATAGGTATGTTAACAGAGATGGAAAGTCATGGGTTTGGAAATACATTGGCAAAGACAAGGTTGAGGTGTTGATAAAAAACCAGTGGAAAACTGGATGAATGTTGGAGAAGCAGCTACCAGACAAAAGAAGAGAAAAATTTGGAGAGAAGAAACAACAGTTAGTATAGAACAGTGTTTCCCCTTTTTTATGCCATGGCTCATATTTTACACTAGAAAAAGACCACAGCGCACCAGCATACCAAAATGCCCTCCCCCCCGACCCCCCCAATAAAAAGTACATGTAATGAAATGTAACGATCTTAAAGTATCGGTTTATACACACTTAACTTGGGCAGTGTGAAAATGGGCCCGTTTAGTTGAACACAATGCTTGTATACTCACAAAAATTAAAGAAAGGCACACACAACGGTCTTCTTCAACAGCTGTCGCTCATCTTTTTTCGTTTCCATATCCATCTGCTCCCACCTGTCCACAACCTTTTTCGCGCCACGGACCGGCCTTTTAAGGGGTGGCAGAGAAATACAACTAAATAAAATGATACGACGGGCATAAAAACTGGCATTTTCTAAATGTAATTATAAGCCATTGTGTATGCAACTTTATTAGTAGCATCCTCGTTACGTCGCGCTTATCTTTAAATGCAGAACGTTTGGTCTCCAAGTGGCGAAACAGTTCGCCGCGTATTATCCAGCGCAGGCTCGGTGCGTGGGAACAACCTGTCGCAATAAATCCGTATTTCAAGTAGGACTCCTGGAATTGTCCGTTGAATGCGGCTTTCTTTTTCTTTAAAGACGTTGGCTCTTCTTCTCGTCTTCTCGCTGGTTCTATTACCCTGATTTAAAGACGTTTCCAAAGACGTTTGTTTTGTTTGTTGTTTTGTTTTTTGTTGTTGTTCATTTTGCTAGCTTCAGGGTTTCAATTTAGCGGCAATGTATTATGTGTTTCCGGCCGGAGCAGACCCTTTAAGATGGTAGCGGATGTAAGTAAGACATGTGACCGAGGCAAGCACACTTGACATGGATCAAGTGGGAGTCAAAAACAGATGCGCGGAGAAAATCCGGTAATTTTTCAAAATAAAACATCGCTCAGAATCAGATAATAAATAAAACGGAAATAGTGTAAGTAAGTCATGTAAGTGCATTTTCTTCTGCGCACCCCGGTATCCGGTCCGCCGCCCGGGAATTGGGGACCAATTGGTGCTTTAAGGTAACAGTCAACAATATTTATGCCACAGATGTCACTAGTCAGTGCAAAAATAGCCAAACCCCCCCACTGTGTTGAAGATCCATTTCCACTACCATCTTTACTTCTCACCGATCACATACAACAGCTTCAGCGTCAGTCACAAGACAGCTTTTCCCATATGCAACTTCATGTGTTAACAATAGAGTTGTAAAGGGACCCAGTATGAAGATTACAGTTTCAAATTAAAGATAAACTCTGTACAATCCATTATTGTGCTCGTGTACAATATGCCTACAGCAGGAACAATGAAAGTCATATACATGGTTGACACTGTGAAATACTGTATATAAACTTCTTATAGTATATTTTTTTCCTTTAAAATGACACGCTTACAGGTGGTGCCGTAACTTCCATGCAAATACTGACAACTGGCTGACAAAATGTATCAAGTGCGGCTTCCTTTCTTTTTGTCTTGGCAACAAAACATGAAAAATATCAAAAGAAAAAGAAAAATAATGATCAGGCACAAATAAATGAGCAGAAAGCTTCACAACACGCATGGATTCACACAGATAAATACAATCAGTCGATAAAGTCTCATATCTAATATGACAATAGGTAGTGCACTTATTTTTTATGCTACATTGGATGAAAAACTTTTTTTTTTAATTGTTTGATTTTGATAAGACAACTCTGTGTATGCGAGATATTTCCTTGGGAGGTAAATAAATGCCTGCTCTGAGAGGATTCAGCTGCAAACCACGGCTGAGCATCTCACACCAACACACACACACACACACACACACACACACACACACGGCGGAAGTACAGTATCAGGCCTCATTTGTCCCTGATGCACCTCGGCTCATCTGATCAGGATTGCATTACAAGCACTTCTGAACCTGCGTCTGCTGGTACCAAGGCTCTCTGATTAGGACGAGACGCTGCCGCCGTAGCCGTGACCAAGACAGGAAGTGAGTCTCAGAAAACAGCAGAGTGACACAGCAGCGCAGAGCTGTGAGAGCAGTGGGAGCAGCCTAGAGGAGAGAACACTTAAAGAGCTTAATCCTCTTGGTCTTTTTATCCGTGATCTTCACTGGTTTGCCGGAATCTCCAGCGCCGTTGTCAGTCTGCCACAGGAAGAAGAAAAGCGAGAAGAATGTAACAACAGTCCAGGAACTCAGAGAAAGAGACGTCTGAAAACTCAACCACTTACCTTCTTAGAGCTCAGGTTGTGTAATATGTCTCTTCCCATAGTGTAAAAAGCCTGAAGTGACAGATTAGCAGAGTAGAATACAAAAATGAGGCCTTGGGGTTAGTCAAAATGTTCTAAGACAAAATGAAAAACACTAAATCCTTAATATAAAAAAGTTTTTAAAAAAGCCTCTATTTTAGTTCAACTTTTTTCCTCCAGATGGGATTGATGCCCAGTTGAACATCAGTGTTTTATTTTACACGTATTCTTTTCATTATCATATGTCACATGTGCAATGTGTCAAGTGTTTACACTTACCTCCTCTACATTGATGCTCGACTTCGCACTGGTTTCCATGAACTTCACTCCATAATCAATAGCCAGCTGTTTGTGATGAAAAACCTCAGTGTCACTCAGAGGGAAGTGGGAACCGTGTAAGGCATATCAATGTTGCTGAGGCGGCAGCTACTCACTTTTTCACCTCTGTCTTTGGACACCTGCCTCCTGTCACTCATGTCACATTTGTTTCCCAGGACCATCTTCTCCACATCGGACGAGGCATGCTGGGAAGAAAATTGGGTCAGAAGTCTTCACATTAAAAAAAGTTACTGTGTGTAAAGGCAATCAAACAGAGTCGTGCCACAAATGTAAACTGATTTCACACCACTTTTATTTCATTTTTGTTTGGTATATTTCTGTTTTCTGTCTTGGAAATATCTTAAGCTGTGGTCGACAACTTTTCAAGTTGTCAGCCCTTTTCAACACAAGGGTTTAAAAAGTGACAGTAAGTCGATGTTGAAAAACTAGAGTGGGAACTGGACTTGCCCTCTACCGCTGAGGACAGGAAGAGGAATTAGTTTGACGCTGAGCCAGCACTTCTACTTCTAGACTTGTAAGTAAACAACAAGACTGATTGTGAAACAATATGTTAAAAAAATATGAACTTTTCAGATGAGATGTCACCAACAATAGGCACTCTGACAAAGCAATAATACAGTGAGTCTTTACTTATTTGACCAAAACCCTATAGCATAAATAGATGCCTAAATAGAAGTCTTTTGGTTCATGTCACATGTTGTCAAGAAACTCGAGACTGTTTTGGCACAAAAAGTGACTTCCTTTTTCCTAATGATTTCCGGCAACAGTCCCGAGCCAATGTGGGAATTTACTGTACATCACAGTAGTAATAACACAGAGGACAAGGATTATAAAATTTTTACCAAGGTCCAATCTGTAAAAAAAACTTTAATATTCCCTTGATAATCATCAGTCAGTAGGTGGATTTTAGACCTTGAAATAGATAGAAGGGATTTCTAAAATATGGAAATAACACTGATTAACATGTATTCTCAGAACATATAATTTGTTTTGTACCATATCATGTGAATTATCCTCTTTTTTTGAGTGTGTGTTACACTGAGAGTCAAGTCCGTCTGTGTCTGAATTAATGGGTTTGACTGGCTGATTAGCATTGTGAAAAAAGAAGGAAGTTTAATGTTGATATTTCATGAGTTGGTTCAGGCCCATAGAGGGTGGTTTCTGGGTCAGCATTTGGACCATGGTCCACTTATTAGTGACCTCTGGCCCTAAAGATCATGTACATTATGCAGTAGCCATGCTTTTAAGAATCTTCCAGAATGTCAAAGTATAAGAGCTTTTCACTTTCATTTTGTCTCTGTCTGTTCCAACATTGTTCAAGAGTCTCTTACGTATTTTATTTTACATGTGGCTTATTTTAACCTACTAAAATGAAATTTCTGATCAATGTGACCCTTTTTCACATTGGATAAGGTTTTCATGGATTCTTTAAGGTAGCGATTGTAGGTCAAATGGGTATTTCCTGAGGTTAAATCTCACCTCTTCAATGTTACGTATCCAGTTTTTTATGTTTTCAAATGACTTCTCGTTGCAGATGTCATAGACCAGCATGATACCCTGTAATGGAGAAAAAATAGTCTATGAATCAACAGCCATAAAGGGCTTTAATACAGGGAGAGGAGGTGTTTATGAGGGGAGGACTCACCATGGCCCCTCTGTAATAGGCTGTGGTGATGGTACGAAACCTCTCTTGTCCTGCAGTATCCCTTACAAAAAAAGAAAAGATGAAACCTGTTAGCACAGATACAACCCTTGAGAGACACATATGGAAATGTGAGTAAAGGGCCAATCAGACTTACCAAATTTGAAGTTTAACTCTCTTTCCATCCAGCTCTATGGTCCTGATTTTGAAGTCTATTCCTGATTGGGGATAAACAAAGAGATGCGTGGGTAAATATATTTAAAGCCAATTAGAGAAGCTGGGACTCATTAATAGCATATTTTAACTCTTTAGAAGCAGAGTCTGAGAAAAGGATTATGTAATAGTTTAAAAAAAACAACAACTCAGATTTGAATAATTTTGATGGTTCACTGCTTGTTAAAGTCAGCAATGACAAACCACAGACACACACACAAACATTATACTATATTATGACCACTATATCTCACAGGGCAAAATATCACATCTGTATCTGATCTGGAACCACATGCTGAAGACACACTGTGTTTAAAATTGGCCAGTAGATTTCCAACTCCAACACAATACTGTAATCTGTGAAAAAAAGTCACTTTCACTTTAAACATATAAAAAACCCCATCATCACAGAGGCTTACAGTAAAGACATTGCAGAACTACATTAACACCTGCTACATTAACACTATTTTAGAAATATGTTCAGTATATAGCCCTTCATGAACAGGAACTTGAGGTTTTTAACAGGAAATCATACTCTGGATTTTTATGAGTCGCTCACTCTTCTCAGAGCTAAGTACGAACACTAAATTCAACCACTATTGTTACAATTAGATGTATATTCTGCAAATTTGAGTTCCTTTACAGTACCTTAGTTTATCAGACCCTTTGTAGGGATTTACTGAGATGTCAGAATCTTAATATTGTATTATGAACTGATTCAGAAATCTACTCAAGACAAAGTATTGAGGAAGTGCTTGAAGAGATCTTTCCTCTGATGCCCTTGCTACATTAGTCTGAGCTCCTGGTTCTTACGCTGCCAAACTGAACCATGTCTTTAACATTCAACAATTCCCACATTCCAGCAATCCACAGGGAAAGAAGCATCGCTGTGTAAAATGCCCACTCTAGGAATTCTCCGCACAATGAAAACCATACAAGTTTCTCAAATGCAAAGAATGTGAACATGATGCTCTCAGACTTCTCCACATATGAACTTGTCTGTTGTTTGTAATGCTGGAGTTGCCCTAATCAGAATCCTGTGACAGACAGATATGCATTCTTCACATTAAGTATGGGTTCATATATAGAGAATGAACCTATATTTAGAGTATATAATCCTGTATGAGATATGCATATATATATATGAAAAAAGTCAAAACAAAGGCAATGGTAAAAATTTAAAAATTGTATTATTAGCAATATTTAGCTAATTGAATTTCAAATAACTGGAAATTTGCCCTACTGATGCCAATGAACCATCAAGGACAGAAGACTATACTGTATATATTGTTCTCAGTCCTACTGCATTTCACATAATTATAATAAAGTCATAGTGTAATATATTTTTTTAATGATATAACTTCGGTTTAGCAGTATTTTTATGTCTGTAATAGCATGTAAATATGGCCATGCATTACTGTCAAATGTATGCAGAGGGGCGTCTGCAGGATATTCACCTATTGTGGAAATGAAGGTGGTATTGAAGGAGTCCTCGCTGAATCTGAACAGCAGACATGTCTTGCCGACACCGCTGTCTCCGATGAGCAACAGTTTGAAAAGATAATCGTACGTTTTTGCCATTTAAACACAAAGCCGGGACGCCGTCGCTTCAGTCTGTCAGAAAAGGCCTCTCAGAGCCAGGGGTCTCCAGTCTGGAAATCCTCAGCCGTCTGTGCAGCAAAACTGGCAACCAGCAGACCGGTGCCCAGATCTGTGACGTCACACTGTGTTGCCAGATCTTTTTTTACGCGGAAATACACTTTAAATTCAGTTATAAAGCAAGAGCAACTGATCCCCAAAAATAGGGTTAAATTGGTTTGAAATTTTATGTCAGAATAATGTTTTTACCTAAACAAGACAAACTTTTATAGTGCTGTGCATAAACTTTTTGCCCGACCTGTTTATTTAACCAAGCTTTGATAGCTTTGATAGTATACATATTTACTTACATAGAAAATATGGAAACATTCAATATGTTTTGTTGTGTTGGTTAAACTAGGTATTGGGTAAACTAGGTATTATACGACATAAAATACTGGTATGTATATGTAGGAGGATAAGACCAAGAAGGTTCTCCGTGTCTACAGCCTGTGATTGCAGTTTAACGTCATGCCCAGGACATGAATGTGCAGCATCGCTTTTCTTATTATCATACTGAAACGGATTCCATTACTGAAACTTTAAAAACATAATTGACAATATGTTAAAAGAACTTACTTTCGTAGTTTATCAAGCAAACCTGGCAACCCGTGACAGTGCTCGCATCATGGATATGTGTAGTTTAGACAGAGAAAGTCACACAAACAGCGTATTCTGTTTGGTTTTAAGCCATTGTTTATATAATGAATAATGCATTAGTATAATTCTAGGTTCTATCAATATAAACATATATATACATACACATATTTTAAATAACACACCATTATCGGTGAGATGACGGCAAATTCTGCCTTATCGTATTTTCCACACATAAATCCAGCAATAATACCTAACAAAGAAACCAGGAAAGTAATCCGTTTCGGTTCCATTTTAAGAAAAGTGAGAGGATAACTTGATATGTTAAAACGTGGATTGTCTTCTTACGGATTTTATTTATTAGACGTGTGTCGACTTTATTAAATCTACTACTTGGTTGCTCTCACCCTCCTCCCCTCAACAGTTCCTGCACACTCCGTCCTCTTCAGTCCACGTCGATGCGCAGTAAAAAGCAACTACGCTGAAAATGCCTGTAAGTGTAAAAGTGATTTATCATTATTATTATTAAGATGCGTACTGTGTATATCAACGTGTAGTGTTGACATCTATCATGTTCTTAGTCAAATAGTAAAGCGAATGTAAACATCCGGGTTGTGTTGCAGTTTTACGTGTTAGTTATTTAGCTGCTACACAGCAATGTTACAGTACAGTACATGTGTTGAAGGATCGCATTACTGTGTGGTACGGGTTCTGTCTATCTTCTGAAATACGAAGGTTATTTATCCCGTAATGTACTCTTTACAGACAGATTCACTAGAATATTTTTCTTTTACAAGTACACATTGTACCTCAACAAACTCACGTTGTTAAGCTGAAAATATTTTTGCGAACTGCCATAACAGTGGTTAGACCAGTTTAAACCAAATGTGTGGTATATTATGTTATAACAAACCATGAATAAAAACCCTTGTCATATTAATACAGCATGGAGCAATATGAAAGTAAATACTGTCACATCATAATTTTAAATCGACCGTTTGCTCTGTTTTTAATCTGTATTTAATATTTTCTTATCAAAGCTGGCCAAAGACCTCCTCCATCCTTCTATTGACGTTGAGAGAAGGAAGCATAAAAAGAAAAGACTTGTCCAGAGTCCAAATTCTTACTTCATGGACGTGAAATGTCCAGGTTTGTCTGGAGTCACTTGTGGATAATACATATAGGCGAGTTAGAGAGTTAGAATGTACTGTTAACAGTAGCATAATTCGTAAATTTAAAGTGTATTTATTTACTTAGCCACATGCCATTAGCTTATCATTATTACAGTACCGCAATAACGACTTTTCAAGAAAAACTACATTCTCACGAGGAGCATTGTGAGATTAAAGATGGCGGCGCCCGTTGCAATATGTAAACAAACTACGGGATTGGGGAAAAAAAACATTTTAATTGCACCACCCACTCTCCTCTCAAAGATTGTGTTGATCATAATGACAAAGTATCCCATTTACCTGACAGGAAGTATGTGTAGATGCACAAGAGGTCTTGTTCTTGTTAGGAGCATGATTCAAGATGGCAGCGCCAGGTACCTGATGTAAACAAATATAGAACACAATTAAAAAAGGAAAGGATGGGTAAACATGTAAGGTAAACAATTTAAAATATTTGCAATATTTTAGAAATAACTGGTTTTAAAAGCGTCTAGACTATGCATTTTATAGAATAAGCAGTGATGCTAGAAACCTAGTACTATGATCATGAAACCATAAAAACTTTACAAAACATTAGACAGTTGTGGAATATTTCATAGATCTCAAATGTTCTTTCATTTGGGGTTAGAAGTTTGTAACATCTACTTATGATGTCATTTGCAGGCTGCTATAAAATCTCCACTATGTTCAGCCATGCACAGAGCGTTGTTCTCTGTGTAGGCTGCTCCACCGTGTTGTGTCAACCAAAAGGAGGAAAGGCCAGGCTGACGGAAGGTGAGACATTCATATATATACTTGTGGTGACGGGGCAGCAACCAGGACTATGTACTACGTTAGATAAATGTATTCAGTTGCAAAGCTGCATTCCCAGAAGTTAAAACACAGAAATGAATATGTTTATGTAGTAAATGATGCTTTTCTCAACCAGTTCACAAAGTGGTGAATGTTATCCTGGAATATCCTGTTAATCTGTAATCGAATGTGTTTTTTCCTCTTAGGTTGCTCTTTCCGGAGAAAACTACATTAGAATGACCCAACTTTTACAGTGTCTGTAATCCAGGCATTATTCTGTGAGAAAAAGATGTCACTGCTAGGAGAACAAATAATCTTTTAAATCACCAAACATTTTAAATAAAGTTACTAAATGAAGATGAAAATGGTATTTTGTTTCCTTCAACCTTTATTCAGAAATAATGAAGTTTTGTCATGGCTGAACTTACCTTCACAGAAAGTATACAAACTAATTTCAGCTTCTGTATGACAAGAAAATGTTTAGGTTTTTGCTTTCCATAGAAACATACATAAAATAAAATGTGAATCTTAAATAATGGGAACGTTACCATAAATACAGTGTGAACCATGTTGGAGGACAAATGGATAGTGAACTTGCATACACGTGTCTTCGAAAAAGAGTACAGAAAAAATATATTGCCAACAGTACGTGATTAAAATGTGTGTTAGAATATGAAGACAGTAAAAAAAAAAAAAAAAAAGAACACCAAAAACCCTCCACATTCCCCTTCAACAGTTTGCAGAGACTATAATCACTGAGTCTGACATTGCACTCCAGCTCTAGGCTGATCCTCATCTTCATCGTAAGCTTCTCTGCTGTGGCTTCTCTGAGTCCGCTCGTCTACCTCACAGAGATCCACCTCCTCCATGTCATCTGTGGTCATTACGTCTTCCCTGGGAGGAAGAAGTCTTTCCAGTTGATACATGAGATGTTCTGGAAGCCAGGCTTTCTCTGGGAATTCCACCTGCATTATCAAGTATAAATTAGCTCCATTTGATTATTCCTCACCAAATTAACACTATTTTTGTCCATTTGATTATTCCTCACCAAATTAAGTTTGAGATTAAGAGAAATTAAGAGTTTTTAAACTTCAGCCCAACCTGGAAGTGAATAATAAGCTGCCCCTTTTCATAAGGTTGTCTGTAGAGTGGCATGCCCTCGTTCTGAACACTTCTGACATCACCGTGTTTTATGACTTCACCTGTATAAAAAAAAACACTTGCTTATGAGGCCTCCATTACAAACCTATTTCTGAGGACCAGGTGATTTTGAAGTTTACTATTTACTACTAAATAGTGTTGCTACTCTTGTTTGTATTGGGTGAAAATAGTCCTGTGTTCTTCTTAGGATAAAAACAATATAAGAGAACTCCAGAGGAATTAATAAAGTTCTATCTATTTAAGTTATTTACCTGGGTGCGAGCAGATGACCAACGTTCTGTTGTCTAACGTCTGAATGGTTTTCTTGAAACCACACAGGGCCTCTACAAGTTTGAGGTCCATCTTCATAATTAAATTATCTTCCTGTCTCTGGAAATCAGGATGATCCTTCTGATCCAGCACAATTATCACATCCCCAGGCTCCAGGCCAGGTTCCTGGTCACCTTCTCCATGGAATGTTATTTTCTGACCATCCTTCATACCTGCACAACATATTTTTTTCTTCAGCAGAGGGGCATTTTTTACGTTCAAGTAAGAGTGTGTTTATAGTGGAAGGAAAGTACCTTTGTCGATATGAACTTCCAAGATTTTCTTCTTTCGTTCTACTTTGTGTCCATTGCAGTTCTTGCAGCGGTCTTTGGAGTTGAATTTCTCACCCTGTCCCTGACAGTCTGAGCACATGCTCTGGATCTGCTGAATCATGCCTGGACCAATCTGCTGTACTCTGACTTGTACTCCTCTTCCTTTACAGTTTGAGCACTTTTCCAAGGCACCTTTCTTACCACCGTGACCTGTCAGGAAAGCATTAAAAAGCTCTTTACAAACGTACTTGACTAGAGAGCACCTTAAAACCAGTGGACAACACTACACACCTTCACATTTCTCACAGATGACATTCTTTTGGAGCCCAAGCTTCCTTGTAGAGCCATTGTACATTTCCTCTAGTGTTACATTGATTTGATGGACAACATTCTTTCCTTTTGGAATAGAAAGAAATATCAACTACAGATGCAGAATATAATTTTTGCATCATTAGCATTATTATCAACAATCACATTAAATTAACCTTTTCTCTCTCTCTGCATCCGACCACCACCACCGAAGAACATGTTGAAAATGTCCATTGGAGAAGACCCTCCATTCATGCCCCCCTCTTTGATGGCCTGTTCTCCTCCCTGGTCATACAGGTCCCTCTTATTTGGATCCGAGAGCACTTCATATGCTTGTGATATGAGTTTGAACTGTGGAAATAATAAAACTCTGGGTTACTTTGGGAATCAAGGCCTCCAATAATCCAGCTATTCCACGCCTAATTCTACACAACGAAACATCCTACATTTAGCTAGACAGATGGTAAGAAACTAGCTGGAATAGTCATGATGTCTCCTAGTAGTTTTTTTTTTTTTAGTTTTAAGAATGTCAAAAATGTCTGTAAACAGTGAGCAAAGAATGTTACATGCTTTTTATGTGAAACAAGTGGCCTGTTTTTCTAGTATTAGGATTGCTTGGAAATTAAAATTACTTCATTGATTACACTTTAATATTAAAAAATTCAAGAGGGGTTAACAAACAAAAACTACATTTTTGAAGATTAACAACTATAGAATCTGCTGTTTTGTAACTGTAATAGTGTGAGAAAGTGTTGATAATGCAACAGAGGTTTTAAACTATACAGCAATAAATAAAGTTCCTAACTATGCAATTGTTGTAACACATAACATATTACTATTATGACAACTGACTTAAGTGGATGATACACAAGGCACGTTTATAATTAGTAACATCTGGCCAGAAGTTAGGCAAAATTCAAATATTTGCTGTATTTTAATCTAGTAACATTTCTAACATTGAAGAATTCAGTGTTTAATAATTTTTAATATTTATTTCTAAATACATCATATTATTTTATTTTTTTTTACCTAGAACACAAACTATTTTAAGGTAAACGTGAAATTGTTTAATTATGTTGTTTTTGACCGTAGTTTTTTTCTTTTTCTTCAGTCAGTCTTATAGACATGCTTTGGACAAGTACAATTACTATTAAACGTCAAGGACAATGAAGGACAATTTATGGAGATTAACTAATCATCAGTTTCTCTGCGTCGGCCATTTCATCACAGTGTCAGTGCTGTGAACCCAAATAGATCTTTCCAGAAACTCTCTGGTAGATCTTTCCAGAATCTCTCGCTGTCCATTCGACCAGGCAAGCGGTTTAAATTTAGAATAGCCATTTTCAGCAGATCATAAACGGCACCACGGCGGTCTCCACGTGTAACCCACCTTTTCTCCTTCATTGGGGTTCTTGTCCGGGTGGTATTTGAGGGCTAGTTTCCTGTAGGCTTTTTTGATTTCCTCTGGTGTGCTGCCTGGACTGACTCCCAGCAGGTCGTAGTAGCCGGTTTCGTAAACCATGGTGACTCGGCTAAAACAACGAAAGAAAATCTAGTAGTAAATAAAGCAAAAAAACAAAAAACAAAAAACAACGATACACAAATGATTATGTTTGATGAGAAGTCAACAGTTGACAGTAACGTTGAGTGTTTCAGCCGACGTTAACGAAACAGCCACGTGTTTTAACAGGAGAAAATATAGTATATTGTATGTAAGGCTGAATTTTTAAACGCAATAAACAACTACTATTAAAGTACTATTAGCTGATGGTGAAAATACAGCATTGCATGAATAGTATAAAAATCAGTGAGAAAATGTGATTTAAATATTCTTGAGCCATACCTATGACATTATACCATCGGTTTTAAAAACCGTTAGATCGGTCGAAAACCGCTTAGAAACAAAAACTGATGATATATCAACTTACCAGGGAATATGACGATACCAGCCCTCGGACAGTCAGGAAAAGCGAGTTCACGTTTGAGAGAAGATGGCTGTGTCTGTCTTTTATAACGGCGGCTGTAGAACTTTCTGGAGAGCTCTCGGCTAAGGGGTAGGTGTTTGCCTGGTTTACAGCAGGGGCGGTCCTACGATTTTCGAAAAGCAGCTCCGGTAGCTTTGATATTACCATGGTTACTATGTAGCAGAATGTCAAACCCATTTTCAACGAGGACGACGGTTTCTCTCCATGTCTCCGTTTTTACAGGACTGTTTTCATGCAAGTCATCCATAATGTATTGACATAGCCTTGTTTAGACTTCTGACATTTGTTACACATAATACTTTCTTAGTTTAGATATGTGGTACATCAGCTCAACTGGAAATTAGGTTTAAGTCCAATTTTAATTATTAACAATCGATTTTCCAATTTATTACACACAATATGTTGTGTAAAGAAAACCTTGTAACTTGTTTAACAATACTGTAATTTCAGTCATTTCCACCAAGACGCAGTACTTGGTCACTATAGTAGGTTTGTAGGATGGGTAAAATTGAAAGACATGAAGAAATTACACCCTTAAGAAATGAATAGAAAGCAGTAAAATAATTTCAATTTTCATATTTATGAGCCTCATGAGCTCGTAACCATAAGGTGTCTTTAGTCACATACAACTGACAAATACACAGACATTAATTACAGACAATAAATAGAGAACATGCAACATATATTAGACTGTTTTGGGACAAATGACCATGATATAGTATACACTGGTTGGTCAGGTTTAAGTCAGTGCTTTGGTTTGTGCAGACAAAAAAAACTTCAAGTAGCCACTTTTTAAAATACATATTTGACTAAAATGTGCAGATTTACATGCAAGATAAATTAGCATGATATATTGGCATAAAACGACAAGAAGAAGTGATGAGTCCAACAGTAAATATTTTTGACCTACTCAGTTTTTACTCCATGTCTTGCACTCTTTGGCATATTGCATTCGTGAATTCGGAACACTTTGAGTTCCCACCCAGGTCTTTTGTGAGAACCTTAGAGTACAAAAAGCACAGTTATCAGAACTTTCAAAGGAAATAAATGTTTGTCTTTTTGAAGTGCTTGTTACCTTTTTGTCCCGAATGGTGTCAAAGCAGGCAGTTTCGATCTTCTTGGCGTGGCCATGTAGACCCATGTGCCGCAGCATCATGACTGCACTGAGCAGCAAGGCAGTGGGGTTGGCCATGTCTTTTCCTGCGATATCTGGTGCAGTTCCATGAACCTGAGGAAAAAATTGACCACAACATTGACATCACATAGGAACATTATACTGGGCCGAGAAAAGTATGGCAATGTGTAGCTGTCAAAGTAAATTTGAGTAACAAATTCCAGGAAAAAAAAACACAACAACATACCGACTCAAAAATGGCAACACCGTTGGCTCCAATGTTACCACTGGGAGTCACACCAAGACCTCCAATCAGTCCAGCACAAAGATCACTATAAATCAAACATATACAGCTATATTTTGATGTATTATACGATCATTTATTCTCAGTATGGTTATTAGCATATTAATCAACCAAAGCCACACTTCACAATAAAATAGCACTGTAACCTCTGAATCATTCATTAATTATTTTCACCTTAAGATGTCGCCATACAAATTCGGCATCACTAAAACATCAAACTGCGTGGGGTCCTGTACCATCTGTAAGAACACAATGGAATGTTATGTGTACATTTCCTAAGACAATTAAGTAGTTTATTAAGAAGTAAAGCACAAAACATTAAGCTGATTCATATCAAAACAACTGCACTCACATTAAGACATACAGTATCCAAGTACATCTCAGTAAATTTCACATCTTTGTGCTTCTCGGCAGCTTCCCTGCATTTCCTCAGAAAAAGGCCGTCAGACATGCGCCTGTGAAACCATTGGTGTAGAAAGGTTAACTGAAATGTTTGAAAGCTTGACACACCACAAAAAGAAACTGCTAAAAGAGCAGGACTCACATAATATTGGCCTTATGTACAGCAGTAACACTTGCCCTTTGGTTGTTTCTGGCATATTCAAATGCATAGTCTGCAATTCGTTGGCTGGCCTGCTCAGTAATGAGCTTAATACTCTGTACAACTCCATCAACAATCTGAAATTAATCAATAAGCACAGTAAATACAAATACAACTCTCTATTATAGAAAAGTTATGATGCATACCAATGTAATAAATAGTAAGAAAAAATACACACTGGGGAGAACAAATGATTATAGTATATGAACAAGGAATGATAAGAACAATGTGAACTTGAAAGAAGTGTCAGTTTAAAATAATATATTTACCACATGTTCAATGCCACTGTATTCCCCCTCTGTGTTCTCTCTAATAGTGACTAGGTCCACATCAGTGTAAGGGGTTTTGTAGCCCTCAATAGACACACAGGGACGGACATTGGCATAGAGGTCAAAGGTTTTTCTAAGTAACAGATTCATAGAGGGATGGCCAGCAGCTATTGGTGTCTTCAAAGGCCCTGTAGGATTACCAATGACAAGTACAGGAGTTAATTCAACTGAATAGCTAAATATCTTTAACCAAATTTACAAATCTGTATTGTAAGTAAACATTAAAAAGAAACCTTTGAGGCCTATTTTATTCCTGTCCATTGATTCCTTGGCATCTGGGGGGATCATCCACTTCCCACCAGGTCCTTGTATGGCAGTAACATTTCTCTCTTCCCACTGAATAGGAGCCTAATTGAAAAAGTTCAAAGAGAAGTATTTGAAGTCCAGTATTTATAAAATGGTGTAACTGACAGTTTTCATAAACCTTGCCACACTGCACTGGTGCTTACTTTAGATGCTTCAAATATTTTCATGACAGAGCTGGAGATCTCTGGACCAATTCCATCACCAGGGATTAAAGTAACAGTTTGCATCTATTAGACAATACAAAGACAACCCTTGAGACATACTGTATAAACAACTTAATGCAAGTTAACATTTACAAAACTGCTTCAAATGAGCATAAAGTGAAGTTCGTTACCCCACGGATGAAAGTCCTTGGCTGTGGAGATTCTCTCATCATCACCCCAACCACCTGTGACAGCTGTCAATCAAAAATAGTACGACTAAAATACGTTTT